TGTTGGCATTGTTTTATTCTACCAACTATTTACTACTCTATTTTTTTTCTTTTACCTGATTTGACAGAAACTATTTATTCTATCAACTATTTTCTTCTTCACTAAATATTAGTGGCTACAAATTGTGCTATTCTATTGGCTTATATATTGTCGCTATATATAAAATTGTCTGTGTGGCTGAAAAAAAAAAATTTCACTAAATGCATGGGGATTGTTCTCAGTAATTTTGTGAAATTTTGTATCATTTCTTTGACTTGGTGAAGAAGTAATTCCAGTAATAGGATATACAGGGGAACCCCATTACAAAATTGTTACATCTCTTCTCTATAAAACCCCACCAAATAGCAGGAGATCTGCATACTGAGTTTGTTAGAGAGAGAAAGAGAATTGAGGAGAAAGAAGTCGTGGCGTAGCTGATTGCCTTCTTAGGTGTTCTGGTGACAGCTGCGGGATTTGAACCCATGCCCTTTCGGTTATTTTGGTGGACAATTATTCTACCAACTATTTTGTTGGTATTGATTTTTATTCTACCAACTATTTACTACTCTATTTTTTCTCTTTTACCTGATTTGACAGAAACCCAAATTTAATCGCATTAATATTTTCTTTTAATGCAAGGCCCATGCTTTCTTGACATTGGAATATATTTAGTAATACTCCCGCTGATATTGCTTGTTTATACTGCTTGATGTTGTTCATGCACCTCAAATAAATAATATAAAGGGAATTTTATATTATCTTTGATAATAGTAGTGCTTACTTTTAGATTGGGAGATTGCTTATTTAATTTTTTTTTTTTTAAGGCATCATTTAATAACCGATATTGCTTTTGAAATAATTGCAGCTCTCTCTGTACATGCATTGACCACATAACAAATATTTTGGTGGCTTATTTAGCTTCTTAAGAACTTAGAAAGTACTAGGTTGCTCACCCATAACTTAGCAAATGGCTAATAGAATTGTAATGGCTGAACTTTCTAGAATTGAAAAATTGAATGGAAGCAATTTTAGCATGTGGAAGAGGAAGATGGAATACCTCCTCATCCAAGATAGAATAATATATGTACTAAGAGAAGATCCACCAGTAGTTGGTGATAAACCAACTGAAGAAGAAAAGTTAGAAAAAATTTTAGAAGATGATCTTATAGCAAAAACATCTATCTTAACCTTTATGCAAGATGACCTTATTAAGGTTTTCAAACATTATGAAACATCTAAGAAAATGTTGGAGGGGATAAAAACTAAATATGATTCAACCTCAAAAACACACCTCCAATTGCTATTAGAGCAATATAACTCATTTAAAATGGAGGGTAATAATGCAGTGGAACATGTAAACAACATGCTTGTTATGGCTAAGGACTTAGCCATTGCTGGGAATGAAGTCCTCGAGTGCATGCAAGTTTTCACAATCTTAAATAGCCTTCCACCTTCATGGAGGATGGTAACAATTGCACTTAGGTTGAATGCCAAATCTCTTACATTAGGGGACCTACCCATGCAACTAGCCTTAGAATGAGAACATATGAACAAAGATAAAAGGAGTGAGCTCATGTTTGCTCAATGACCTCCCAAAACTAGCCAACCCAAGCCTAAATTTCAAGGGAAGTTTAATAAGATGAACAATAGGTTCAAAAAAAAAGAAACTAAGCCCTACAACCTAGAATCTAGACTAGGACTGCCAAAATGAACTAAGCCTTACCACCTACCCATGCAACTAGCTTTAGAATAAGAACATATGAACAAAAATAAAAGGAGCGAGCTCATGCTTGCTCAAGGACCTCCCAAAACTAGCCAACCCAAGCCTAAATTTCAAGGGAAGTTTAATGAGAGGAACAATAGGTTCAAAAAACAAAGAAACTAAGCCCTACGACCTAGAATCTAAACCAGGACTGCGAAAACGCTTCTTATGTGGTCAGCTAGGTCACTTTAAGAACCGTTGTCCACATAATCGACATAATAGAAACCTGCAAAATCCAAAGAATAGCGGAAATGGAAGCAAGAGGCGTGAAGTTGTTTGTGTGGTTTCTAAGTTGTTTGTGTGGTTTCTGAGTGCCTGATGGCAGACCACGACATCAAAGGATGGTGGGTAGACTCAGACGTTAATCGACATATTGTAACCTCAAAAGGCCTCTTCGAGGACTTCAAAGAAATAAAAGCTAGGGAGAAACGCATCTACATGGGGAACAACACCTATTCTAATGTATTATGTGTGGGAACTTGTAGGTTGTATGTACGGACAATCGACCTTGTATTAACTGATGTATATTTTATCCCTTGTATGAGACGAAATATTGTATCTGTCCCTTTGCTCATTAGAAAGGGTTTTGAAGTCCGCTTCCAATCATTGAAAGTATCAATCGAAAAGCGTGGACAAATTTATGCTTGGGGACACGTGGTTGATAACTACAACTTGTTCTTTCTTCATGTAAATGAGAAAGCTGATACTAAAATTTCAACTTATTCTGGTTATGTTGATTGTGTAATGGTTGTTGATGCGTATACTTGGCATCTTAGGCTTGGCCACATAGGAAAAGACAAAATAAATAGATTAATAAAGAAATGTCTTATTCCAAATCTAAATAATGTCAAATTTCTAACCTATCAGCATTGTTTGTCCAGAAAAATGACTAGGAAATCATTCAATAAAAGGGAGGGAGCTAATGAGTTATTGAATGTGGTAAACTTAATGTTAAAACTCATAGAGGGACGTCATACTTCATCACTTTTATTGATGATTTTTCTAGATTTGGATATGTTTATCTAATCCATTATAAATCAGAAGCTTTAGAAAATTTTAAAATATATAAAAAAGAAGTAGAAAACCAATTGGGTAGGAACATCAAAGTTCTTAAAACTGATAAGGGAGGTGAATATACATCCGAAGCTTTCAATACTTATTGCCAAGAATATGGTATTACAAGATATACCACTATGCCTTATACGCCACAACAAAATAGAATAGCTGAAAGGCATAATAGAACCCTCTTAGAAATGACTAGATCCATGATGGCTCATGCTAATCTGCCTAAGACTTTTTGGGGAGAAGCAATAAGCACATCCATGTATGTTCTTAATAGGGTTTCAACTAAGGCAATAGATTTTACCCCTTATGAACTGTAGACAGGTAGAAAACCTGATCTATCCGATTTAAAAAAGTGGGGATCAACTGCCCATGTCCTCATTTCATATCACCATAGAAATAAGTTAGAAAACAAAATTCTAATTTGTAATTTTATAGGATACCCCGCAAGATTATCATAAAGATAAGGGACTCATTGAAAGCAGAGATGCTGAGTTCCTAGAAGATTTTATTGAAGAAAACCTACCTATAGTGGATAATAATAATCTACCTAATATCATAGATGGCTTAGAACCACTACCTACAGTGGAAATGGATAGCCCTGAGCAACATTATAATGTTGAAGTACCTACACACCCAATGTTGAGTGGTCAAAAGAGGTCTAAAGCTCCTCCATCATACCTTGATGATTTCTATGTCTTTATGAATGAGGAGATAAACAACTTTATTGACCTAGATGAAATCCATGACCCTTTTGACTTCAATGATGCTATGAAATCACAAGAATCTCAAGAATGGCTTAATGCCATGAGAGAATAATTAGATTCTATTGAGAAAATTAAAGTTTGGGAACTATGTGATTTACCATCTGATAGGAAAGCTATAAGTTCTAAATGGGTACTTAAAGGGAAGTTCAAATCTGATGGATCAATTGATAAATTTAAAGCTAGGTTAGTAGCAAAGGGTTTTACCCAAAGAAAGGGATCGACTATGTCGACACTTATTTCTCAGTTGCAACGTTTATTTCCATTAGAATAATTTTGGCAATCGTTGCATATTATGACCTAGAACTTTACCAAATGGATGTAAAAAATGCATTCTTGAATGGTGAACTGAAGGAAACCATCTACATGAAATAACCTGAGGGCTTCATAATTATAGGTCAAGAAAATAAAGTATACAAATTAAATAAGTCTTTATATAGTTTAAAACAATCTTCAAGACAATGGTACTTACCATTTCATGATGCCATCCTACATATGGGATATGAAGTAAATAAATTGGACCATTGTGTGTATGTCTTGAAGAGTGAGAGTAAATTCACAATACTCTCATTATATGTGGATGATATCCTAATAGTGAGAGTAAATTCACAATACAGTGAGAGTAAATTCAGATGCAGATTTTGTTGAGGATAAGGACGATAGTAAGTCCACCTCAGGACACATTTTTCTCTTTGAAGGGACAGTTGTTTCTTGGTCTAGCAAGAAACAAAGGTGCGTAGCAGGTACACACAGGAAGAAGAATACATGGCATGTAGCACTGCTTGTACTTTCATCATCTAGATAAAGCTTTTCATAGATGACTTGAAGCTACAAATAATCAACAGACCGATCCAAATATTTTGTGATAATCAAGTTGCAATTAAATTAATTCAAAGTGGAGTAAATAACTCCAAAGGAAGACATATTGATGTCTAATATCACTACATTCAGGATGTAGTTGAGAAAAGTGAAGTAACTGTTAGTTACTTGCCCTCATCAGATATGATCGTTGATCCATTAACAAAGGGTCTAAGTGTTGAACTACTTTCTAAGCACACTAGCTTAATGGGACTTAAAACTGTTTAAGTCAATCAGTTTTCATGAGTGACAAAACTGCATTAGCATGAAAATCCTCATGATGGACATTTGTTATGAGAAGCATATCTGCGAAACCTTGAGAAAAACCTTATTTTCTTAAAGGTCATAGTCAAAAGTGGGAGTGTGAATGTTACTTATTATACTCGGTCGTCATAGCCAAGTGGGAGATGTTGAAGGAGGCCTTATGTGTCTTAGCCTACAATTGTGGGAATCCAATGTTCATTATAACTATCCAAAAAAAAAAAATTATATCCAACGTCCATATGGTCCAACGTCCATATGAATGTTGGATGAATATCCTTGAGATCAGGGAGACTTTTTCTCAAAGACCCGTTGGAGAAATATATCTGTTAGCCCTTCTTCTCCATATAAAAATGGGAAACTGACACAGCAAGAAAAATGTGTACAGTTCTTCTCTCTCCCTAAAAGTGAAGGGATCTAAAATCCGGGCTCTGTGATCACCAGCCTCACAGCACTCTTCTCTGATATCGGGTTTATTATCATCCACGCTCCATCAATTTTCGCTAACAATTTAGACTATGTAATTCAATATTAGAAATTTATTGAACAGAATGAGTAAATTGTTTATGTAGCAAATTAAGTAGCATAAAGATCAATAGCATAATTCTATAAATAGTTATATAATTGTAATTACATTATTATAATGAATTAATAATATTAATTGTCCAACCTTTAACTTTGGCTTAACAATGTAGTATAGATAATCTAGTATAGATATGAAGGGGACTGTGAAGACCTGAACAAATTGTATTCTCCTCATGGTTCACATTAGCCTTCAAATGGCATTGCTGTACTATAACCACAGTTTGGTAACTTCGAATATTTGTATCACATGATTTGGTTGGCTCCAAAGTGTATGATCTCACTATCTCTTCCTAGAAGCTTTGATATCGAGTTAATGGTGTACTGTATATGTGTGTAATAATAGTGACATACAACTTGTACATGCAGTCAAACAACTCATCATTTACTGGTCATGAAAACGCTAGTTACTCATTGATGCAGTCAAACAACTCATCGTTTCCTGGTCATGAAAACGCTAGTTACTCATTGACACTAGATGTGGAGGCTGGAAAAATACATGTAGTTTCTTGGATGGATTGTTTGGATCTAAGATTATTTGCAGTCCTTATCAACTCGACAATCTCAAGCTCAAGGTACGTTTCAGTTTATTTATTTATTACCTTGTTTGGTCATTAACGTCATTGCATGGAACTCCTAATTGTTTTACATGATGGTTAGCAATTTTGACTTTATGATAGACCATGCTTCAAATTGTATTGATGAGTAATTTCGTTATTAATTTTTGGTTCATTGTACCTGGATGGTTTGGCCAAATAATTC